ATGGTACAACTCTTTATAATTTCATCAAACACATGCATGCTTCCCTTGGGGAATTTTGTATGCTTTAGTGTAATGGATTTCTTTTGACTCATCATCATCATCTTTTGACTCACTGGTAACAAGCTAAAAGCCCTTGGTACCTGTAGGAGTACAGTTAATCTGTAGTTACAGCCATGCATCCTTTTTCAAGCCTCAGTAAATAGTTCTCCTATGTTAGAAATTACTGATTTTCCTCTCTCCCTCCTTGAACACATCTTCTTCACTCAGTGGAGAGGAAAAAGAGTCATTTTTCTCACCCAGTGTTCCACAAGCCCACCTTAAATTACACTGAGAGGAGGATGAGAAATAACATTGCTCTCTTACAATCATATTAGAGCATCTGTATACCAGAAGAGAGCTGGGCAGAAGGGCAAGTAGCTTGCCTTAACCTTCCTAAGAGAGTCTACAAAGTCAGGACTGGGAGGTGTATTTCTTACTGTGTTCTTGAGACACAAGGAGGGTTGAAGTTTCAAGAAGTAAGGTACAGCTGGATCAAACTGTGCTCACAGAAATTGAAACAAAAAATGGAATACTTGTTTTCTGAAATCATGAGCTATTTATTGCAGTAAAAAAATATTTGATGCTTAAAAGAAATGCAGCTTTTTTTTTTCTGATAAAAGCAGAATAGCTGATTTCAGTCTGCTCCAGCTGTGACAGGCTGGCCCAGCTCTGGTGGGTGGGATAGGATGGAGGAAGCAGAGGTCAGTGGGATGTTTGGCAGAGACAAAGAAGTGGAAATAAGAGGGATTGGGTCAACAGGAAGAAAAAATTAAGAGAATCAAGAAACTGTGTTGCAAGCATTGGAAACCTTAATTTTTTTGGTAGTGATTGGTATATTGCACTTCAGTCAATGTTTTAAAAGATTTCTTGTGTCCTGGCAGAGTTCAGAGCAGTGAAAGAGCAGGCAAAGTATCTTTTTACTTGCTCATCCTGTGCAAAAGGGGGAACATTGTGTTCCACACCATTTGCAAGCTTCTGTTATGGGCCAGGGCAGATCACAGATATTTCTGGCCATTGAGGCTTTTAGCACTGTTTGATTTGGTTTGTGCCTCTGAGAAGGTTTGGACAACACTCGGTTTAACCCTTATTTTAGTAGTGTGTAAAGGCTTAGTTATGTGTCTTAGTCAAATCTGTGATGATGTAGTGTTCAAAGATGAATATAAAAGCTTGTAAGCTAACTTGTTACAGTATTCTGTGGGGGAAAAAGTCTTAAAGTGACAAAACTAGTTAATGGAAACATGCAGTGCCAGTGTTAATAGCACTGATGTCCAAACAGAATCCATTTTGTTGTTTCACTGTTTTTACAATCCCATGAGCTTTGAAAACAAGCCAAAACAAAAATCATTCAAAAAAAGTATTCAGAGAGTTAACTCACTGAGAAAACTAAAATTCAGTGCTACTATAGTATTGTTTCCTTGAAGAAGAGTCTTTCACCAAGCTGCAGATATCAGAATCTCTCTGGTTGAGCCTCCTTTCCTTGTGTAGGAATACAGTGCTGTAATACCACAGTCCACTGTATTTGATAAGGGTTTTAAAGTCTGTTACCTTTGCCTGCCCTTTTTAAGTTGAAGTTCTGCAGATATCTGAGTATATTTCTAAGTTTGCTTTCTGACTCCTCCTGTACACTGCTTGTAGTTCCACAGTCAAAAGGGACAGGATTTCAGTGCTGCTGTTTCAGAGAGCTGGTATCTTCAGACAACTGAGCGTGCAGGCTCCTGCCTCTCTTGCTTGCAGAGTAAAACAAATTAAAGTGGTGCACGTGATGTAAATTAACCTGTTCTGCCCTGCAGCTGGGACAGGCTGGAGCGTGCACCTGGGTTATGGTGAGGCTGACAGGTGGTACCTGGTGAGGTGCTCTATGTGCGGATGTGCCTCGGAGACAGCTCTGGCAAAGGGCTCGTGAAATGAGAAAATGTGTGAGTCAGTATCTGCTCTTGTGGAACTGCAGTCATTGGACCTGATTCATGTGTATCCATCTATTTCTCATTAAAATGCTGTGCTTGCCGTTGGCATTTTGAGGGCACAATTTGCCTGTGTCATTTTGTGGGTTTAGTACCTTGAACCTGAAACTTTATGCCTTTGCCTTAAGGGGTTTGTCTAGCCCAGACTTTTTCTTTACTACATTGTTCTGTTTTCTGTGTTCCCTACCCTGAAGAATTGGAAGAGAAAAATTAATAACAGGCTAAAGCTGGGAGCATTTCCCCTTTAATCAAGAGGTAGAACATCCTGGGTCAAACAGACTTTCTTAAATTACCTGGTTTCTGATATTTTAATTAACGTTAGTATTTTTCCTACCACGTTTATACTGCCTCGAGGGAATGCTTTTTTCCCTGCCTTTCCTGTGTGGCATGCCACAAAGATTCCTCTACAATTAACCCAGCAAAAGTAAGAAAACAGATAACAAAGGTTTAAAGTTGGAAAGGTGTTCTCAAACTTCTCTCAATTAGTATAATATGCAAGTATAATAACGTTAAAATGTCTTTAAGCTTCTCATATTAGAGTTTTAATGATGGTGCTGAATTGCTGTGCCAATGAGGAATATTTAAAAAAAAAAAAAAAAGAAAAACAAAGAAAGCAAAGGAAAAAAAGCTGGATATGCTTCTAAGATCATAATGGAGAATAGAGAAACAGTAAGCAAAATATTATCTTTCAGTTCAGACACTAAGAATCTGATTTATTATTACTGGGCAACTTATTGGGTTCCAAATTTCCTAAATTCACCTCTATTATTTTTATTTTTTCAATTTATTTGAAGTCCTTCAGCTTTTTGGTAAGAGAGCCTGAAGTTCTCATTGCCTTCTCAATGCCCATATTTCAGTGTTTGAACATTAAAACAATGAAGTTGTTCTCTGCCTTCACCAATGTTATTCACTATTATCTCAGCTGCTTTTAATTTCACTTCGTCTGAATTATTACTTGCTGTGTACTCTGAGCAGTCTCAGAAGATACAAGTGAGAAAATTATGCCAATAAATAGTATGCTGGGTTTCAAGCATGCATTTATTGTTATGATCTATTCTGCTTTAATAACACTTTTTTTATTTATTGAGACATTTTTATAAGTCACATTGGAGATAAGAATGAGAAATCATTTTTATGAGTTAATGTAGGTGTGTTTCGGAAACTTTCCTTGCACCAATCTTTGTAAAGTTTGAGTGGGTTTTGGTAATTAGTAAATCTTCAGTGATTCATGGCTTGTCTTAGTGATGGAGGATTTGTAAGAGTGAGACCAGCTCACTAAAACATTACATTTTAATCAAATTATTAACATACTTCTCAATCTCAAGCGTGGTATCATAAAAAATAAAATTATGAAGCAGAACTCCAAGTGCAACTTAAGCAGAACATTGACTCAGAGGGAACAGTGATGCAGCAAATGCATCAACTGTATTTCTTCAAAGAAGAGTAGAATACTCTTCCCTAGGTGGGAAGGAGGCATTGTGCCCTTCTCTGATATTTGCTGCTTATTTCATACTCAAATAGCAAATTGTTGGCATCTGGAGTCACTTAAAAAAGCACCTAGGTTGAAACACCTGTTTTATAATAAAACCAACTAATTCAAACATTGTTCACACCTCAACTGAAAACAGTCATTTTAAAGTGATGCTGTTTATGCCAGTTCTGCTGTTTAGGATAATATTGAAAGGTCCCATCAAAATTACATTCACAAGAATTAAGTTTTAACTCCTCCCTTTTCAGTAGGTAACTCATGTCTCCTGTGGTACCTTTGCAGGATTTGGAGATGCACGGAAATGAAAACCAGTGTTTTCAAGCTTAAATGCCTAAATACAAATGTTCTTACATGTGAGAATTTCAGTTTAAGGGTGTTGAACAAGTCTTGTCCCCTGTCTCTGTGCAGAGGCATAGGCCAGCTTTCCAGCCTTCTTCTCTCTCACCTCCTCTCACCTCTGTTTTCCTTCTCTCTTGAGGCTCCATAGTCTCTGCAGCGTGTCTGGAATTTCGGTAAAGCAGCCCTTTATTAAAATGCCCAAGTATCTTGGATGACAACTATAAATGACTAGAGTTACAAATCCAACAATACACACTGTGTGTGTGTGTGTTCTGGTTTTTAGCATTTTATAGGCATTTTGGCTGATAAAATCTTTTTGGTACCTATTCTGTGTACTGGACTTTAAGTTCTTGAATCGTAGTAAGAGCTGAAGTAATCACAAGAAATACTGTATGGCTTCTGAGGATTAATAGTCAAAAGAATCAAATATATTTTATTCCTTTCTTTGAAACTGAAATGGAAAACTTCACCTGCTTTTCTAGCTTTACATTGGGGACTATGCTAATTCTAACATGGATTGTCACTAAGGGTCGCAGTTGTCTCCAGGGTCTGCTTTCTTCTCCTTGACATTCCAACAACAATAATATTTTCTTTTTATTTGTGTGAATATCTGCTTTTTTAAGGACAGTCTATGTTCTTTCACATTCTCTTTCTGGACACACAAAGTGAAGTATGGTGGAGCAGGAACTTGTTACTTAGTTTATTGCTGGATTTTCCCTTTATGCCTGGATGGTACCTGAACATTTTTTTCCCATTCTGTCTAATCAGCTTAGTTCCCTCTGAAAAAAAAGCATTTGCTAAGCATTTAGGAAGGATAACAGAGCAGAGGAAGTGGTGCAGATGAGGCAGAAACTGAAAAAGGGGCCATTAATGAAGAGAGGTATCAATCTGTTCAGTGGGATTTCTCACCCCAGAAGCCAGAGGGAATTGTTACAGTGCTCCACACTTCCCATGAACATGGAGTTAAATCTTTAAGGGATCTTTCCACTTCTTTTAATGGGACCCTGTGAGTATCTGAGGTGAAATGCCCTGTGCTAAAATCACTCGAAAAACTGTTCTTAACATTTCAGTAGGATCAGATTCATGCTTTGATTGTCAGAAGCTCCTAATGCGTGGTGCTTCACTCGTGCATCCTTTTAGATACATAGACTGCTGTTTGTTGTTGGTATAGTATGTCAGTGGACTACACAAAACGTGAGTTCTCACATTTGTGGCACTACCAGTTACCACAGGTTACAAAATAAAGCTGGGAAATCTGTGGCAAGGACAGACCATCAGGCCTATAAATAATTACATGAGAAAATATTGCCTTTAGGTTGTAGTAAATAGGAGGTGTGGGCTGGGTTCATGTCTCCAGTCCAGAGATCTGTTTTTCCTCCAGAATTTGGCTGTTGACAAACATAAACGGGGTTTTTTGGGGGGAATAGCCTAAAAATAAAGGAAAAACTACACTGAAAATTACTGTTTGACTTCATCATGTGGCATGAATATGTGGATCTTTTATTAAAAAAAAATCTGATGTCTTTTATTTCTAGAATATTTTTATCCATATCCTTTTATTAAGTCCCTCTGTGACAAACAGTAGTTGGTCTGTTCTGCCATTTCTTAATGGCAGAAAGTTGATCCAAACAACTCCAAATTCATGATACCAGCACCTTTATTTAAACATTTTGGAGACATATAAATGACAAGGCCAGTCTGACAGTTCTGCAAGGATACTGCTTTTGATTGATTCTCTGAAAAGTTTCTGATGGCATGGTTGCAAACCCTCAGGTATCCGGTTCTTTTAAAGAAGTTTTTCTTAGTTGCCAGGAAAGATGTCTTGTGAATCTGAAAGCTAAAGGCCTTAAGTTCAGCTTAATATTTACAGAACTGGTTGCACACAGGCAGTGGTAGCATAGATCTCCCTGTGCTCTATCATTTCTGTGTGCGGCAAATGGCCTTGAGGCATAGTTAGAAAGAAAAAGGTCAGACTTGTTTGTGACCCTTCTCTTGGAGCGTGCAGAGACGTGTCATTTATCAAGGAGGTTGTGGATGTGAGTGGAAGTGGTTGGGAAGGAGCCTGTAGTGTCCCAGACCAAACTGGAGACCATTTACAAACTCACTGCCTGGATGGGATTTTAAGTGAGAAACACATTATTTTATTCCTGAACTTCTCTCGATACAGTTTGTCAGAAGACCATGTATAAATATGTTGCCTGATATATATATATATATATATATATATATTTATATTTGCCTAAAAATCCACTAACTATACAGAAATAAAAAGAAAAAGGCTGCACTTATTTGTACATTTTTTCATGTGGTTTGAGGCTGAAGTTATACCAGCTCAGGGTTTTTAAAAGTGGTTACCCAGCACTTCTGAAGGTGCTGTGCTTCCAACCAACTTCAGTAGCAGCTGCTGTATCCATTTGTGGGTCAGGACATTCTGGCCTTGTTTGGGCTAAGGAAGGCAGCTGAGGCTGTGCTGTGCTATACTGGCAAAGCTGGAGCTGAACTGCAGTGCTGTTTGCTAAAGTAACAGCAGGGGAATGCCAAGAGCTGCATTAAAGCAGATGACATTGCTGTGCTCATGGTGCTCCTCTGCCTTCCCCAGCCAAATTACTGCTTGGGAACCCTGCCTGTTTCATGTCATATGTGTTAATCATCATCTTGTGACCATGCAGAAAACCTGGGTAGAGCAAATCTTCAAGGCTCCAAAATCGAGGCAAATGTTGGGAACTCTGTGTCTTTGTTTCTGAAGATATTTCTCTCTTGGGGGAAACCAGTTATTTGGTTTAAGAGAACTACATATGTTAGACTGAGGTAGGAAATGATTGTAGCTCTGCATTCATCACTGCTGACTCAGCTGTAGTGCATAACCTTATATTGACAAAAACTGAGCCCAAACAGAGGTACTACAGTGTTCAGAGGTGGGAAATGGTTCAGAGAAAGAGAAAAGACAAAGAAAAAAGAACTAACGTGACAAATTTACAAAGAAGAAAGAATCTTAAGTCCTGTCAGCCTTTTCTTATTTTCTATTGAAGAATGAAAATGGCTCTTGTAATAACAAGGAAAAGTAATATTTAAAGCTGTCCCTAGAATATATTTCAGAGCAATTAATCACCTACTGCAAAATGCCATCGAGGACAAGGACACAGCAGGGTTCAGAATGGCTCCAGGAGGCACAATAGATGTTACTTGGCCAACCAGACTTCTCCTCCCTACAATTCAATCTTTTCATGACAGTGGTCACCCAAGGAAAAAAGGTGAACAAAACCTCATTTTTAATTTCACATTATAGTGCTTTTAGTTTTTGACGTTCTAATGTTTTTAGGTGGTTTTTTTTGTAGTGTGCCACTTGGTTGGGTTTTGTCTGCCAAGAATGCTGTGCAGTTCAGTGCTAAGTCAAGGAAAATACACACAGAGTACTGTCCTTAACTCATATAAAGAAGTCTCTCTTTGAAACAAATACATGTTTTCCAGTGAGAAGCTGTGCAGGTTGAAATAGAGTGAATAATGCCCATGATAGTAGCATTTCATAAACAGTGCAATTAGCTTGTTTTTTAGTCAGGGTTTGGTTTGGTTTGGTGTCTTTTGTGAGATTTTTTTGGCTTTGGGGTTTTTTTCCAATAGACAATATTGTTCCATCTATCTCTCTCTCTAGGTAGCTGTTTTTACAGTTCAGTACACTTGAGTAAACTGGTGCATAGTAGAATATAGTAGAATATTGGCTATTTCTGGATAACTTGTACTACAGAATGAAGCAGCTCTAAAGAATGAACCACCCAGCCACTGTAGATCATGAAATTCGTATATTTTTTAATTCATTTTTAAGTTCGTATATTCATTTTTAAATTCGTATATTTTTAAATTCAATTTTTAAGTTCTAGTGTAACAATGCAGCAGAGAGTCTATCTATAGACACTGTTTGTGTCAGTGTCAGGACTCTTTCATGGGATGGGATCATGGTGTGCTTTGAGTTTTGCCCCTCTTTTGCAGGTCTCTCTAAGCTACAGATTCCTCTTTATTTTTTTCAGCAATTGAGGCTGGTTATTACTTGTGCCCGGTATGTAATGTCACACTTCCATAGAAATGTACCAGTCTCACATGAAAGGAAATAAGCACTGGATTAAGTTAGTCCAAAAGTCTTTTGTTGCTATTCTTCTGTAGTTTGTACTTTCAGACTTTTTCATGAGCCCTGTTGTCTGCTAAGTGACTTTAGCCAGTTCGTGGGGATTTTTTGGTTTTGGGTTGGGGTTGGGGTTTTTTTTGTTGTTTGGTTTACTGGTTTTAAGAGGCACTGCCCACTTAAACCTCATGCTGTGACTGAGATTCAGTCCTAGAGTTCCCATGGTTGTATCTTCGATGACAACCCCAGGAAAGGTCCTTAAACCTTTGCAGTTTTCCCACTTATTTTGCTCTCTGGGGGTGGCAGCACCCAGCACATCTTTAGTGCTCAGCCCAGAAGGAAATGGTCTGAACCTAAAGACTTCTATTGACAAGGCAAAGGCGACCTTAATCCCAAAAAGTGCCAAGTCTGCATCAATTTTGTTGCTTTCATGATTCATCAGCTTGCACCTTACATTTGGCATAAGATATTTATGGGGTAGGTGATAGCTCTTGTACTTTCCCTTTTACCCAGGAGAGGGCTGCAGACTGTTGATTGCAGAATGGATTTGGTGCTGATTTCAGGTGTACTTCCCGGAGAGTGCTGTGCAAGAAGGCTAAACATCAAATTTGCCCACACGTTAAGCATTTTGATAAGACATTTTATAGAATTATCTAGGTTGGAAAAAGCCTCTAAGATCAAGTCTGACCATTGAAAAATTTTAAGAGAATCCACAGTAATAATATAACCACAAGAGACTGATGTAGAACTGATATGGTTTTAAATGTTTGTTTAGTGAACAGAATTAGAATTTCCCAAAACAGGAGTGCAGGAAACTTCTATGGGCCTATCTACAGTTTAACAAAATGAATGTATAAAGGTGATGAATTAAGGAAGAACAAGATACATTTAAGGGATGGGTCTTTGGAGCTGACCTTTCTACACACTTTATCTTTAGAAGTGCCTTCTAAACACTTTATCTTTCAGCCTGAGGAAAGGAGAGTAGAATCAAAACTGACAGGGAGTTTTGCCTTGGGAGCACATTTGTCTCGTTTGGGTTTTTTTTAGCAATCCAGGTTGGTTGCTTCTGTTCTGTTTTGTTTCTGCTGTGGAGTCACGCAGTTTGCCTGACGTTACTGTACTGCAGCTGTTCAGTGGAATGAATCTCAAAGAAATTAGTAATTGTATTACTTGATAGTCAATAGGTAATGTAATTGCTTCTTGTCTGCAGCTAATTGGAGACCAGTTAATCAGAGTGTTTTCTCAAAGAGTGGATTTTGTGCCCTATAACTGCAGCTTTACAGATATAATCATGTGTAACAGGGTCCGTGCAGTTACATGGAACAACACACCTGGAATGTGCTTTTTTCTAATTCTGAAAATACTACCTTTTTTTTTTTTAACTCAACAGATGCTAAGCAAATTGGTCAGTATCAGTGACTAACTTTCCACCCAATTTATGCAGAAAACAGTACTTGTCAATCTCACAGAGAAATCAAAGAAAACACGTTGCTCCTTTCAAGATGAATTAACAGGTTGTGTTGAAGTTCAGAAAAGGACGGATCTAGAGCCAAGAAGGGATTTAGGAAAAGAAAAAGAGGAAGAGTTTCAAGATAAAAACATTGAAGGCAGAAGTGACCTTGGTGAGGTTGTATCTTCAAACTTGAGGCGTGAACAAGGCGAGCATTCCAGCCTTTTCTCAAAAAAACAGTCTCCTACAAATACTGGGGAAAAGAGATTGCCAAGCTGGTCATCAGCTTGTGAGCATGCACTAGAAAAGACACCTAATTGTCTCTCTAACAAGGGATACTGTAAAGAAGAACAAATATCTTAGGTGGCCACCATCAGAGATAAGAGCTCCAGCCATTAAGAATCTAAAGGCAACTACAGACTTGTGCTTGCTGAAACTTCTACCAGCTCCTACAGAAACGAACAGGAATCTCAGATAAAACATTTCAAAGAAGAACACATCAGTGAAGAGCTGGAGTATAAAAAAGAAGCCACAAAGCAGAAAAGAAAGAAAAATAAGTGTAGGTGCAGATTGTGGAAAAGAAAACGAGAATAAAAAGAGAATTAAATTTAAGCTAGACTTGGTAAATGAAAAGAAGTCAAGAACTTCTAAAGGCAAAACACTTAAGGAGAACCCCCCAGAGAAAGAAAGCAAAAAGGATAATAAGAAGCCTCAGGCAAATATCAAAACAGAAGAGGAGCTACCCTGGGATGAGTCTATCTTTGAATATTGATAAAGGTTTTACTTAGCTTTAAGAAATTGATTCTGTTTGTAGACTCACTTCACTGGTTTGTACCATACTGTGACTTCTTCTGTTTTAAGCAAAAGTTTTGTTCCAATCTGGAAGCAAGAAAAGGCCTTTCTGCAGAAATTTTTTAGCAGTAGGTTGGCAATGCTTTTCAGTCATCTTTCCTACACATGCAGCAGCCATTGCAGTAAGTGTGAAAGTCTGTATTATAGACTGGAATATTCCCTTCTGGAATATACCACAAATATAGTAGCTTACAGAGTACTAATAAAATTTCACCAAAATTCACAGCTTCTTTCTAATATCAATGATGCCCACTATTGACATTTCTGTTATTCTTCTGGGGAAATACATAAACACTACAGTGTTCCCAGACTTGTCAGATTTAAATGGAGAATGTAAAAGGCTTTTGATTCCAGATGTTATTTGCTGTTGGGGATTTGTGTTGTTTTTTTTTTTTTGTTTATCTGGTTGTAAGTGGAAAATGAGTCCATTAAATGGACCAATTAAGTGGAAAGGATTGTAAGATATCCATTGTCTAGTAGATTTTTTCTCATGGCAATCCTGATTTTTAATTTCATTCAGGAATCACAGAGAAGGTGCAATATACAAAATGAATTATTAACATGAGGCTATATTCTGCTTCATTCCCTCAAAGCAATATACAGGAGGAATGCTGGAATGAAGCTATTTGTGATTCAAACAGTACCCTGAAAGATCCAGGCAGGGGGATGAAAGGAGAGCAGCCCTGCCAAGAAGGACTTAGTGCTAGGGGATGAGATGCTGAACATGAGCCAGCAATGTGCACTTGCAGCCCAGAAAGACAGTTGTGTCCTGGGCTGCATCCAAAGCAGTGTGGGCAGAGGGTTAAGGGAGGTGATTCTGCCCCTCTGTTCTGCTCTGGTGAGACCTCACCTGCTGTGCTGCCTCCAGCTTGGGATCCCCAACATCAGAAGGACATGGACCTGTTGGAACAAGTCCAGAGGAGGCCACAAAGATGCTCAGAGGGCTGGAGACCCTCTGCTCTGGAGTCAGGCTGAGAGAGCTGGGGTTGTTCAGCCTGGAAAAGACTCCAGGTGGACCTTTTATCACCTTCCAGTACCCACAGGGGCTACAAGAGAGCTGGAGAGGGACTTCTGACAAGGTCATGGAGTGATAGGACAAGTGGCAATGGCTTTAAACAAGAGGGCAGATTTAGATTAGATATTAGGAAGAAATTCTTCACTGTGAGGGTGATGAGACACTGGCAGAGGTTGCCCAGAGAAGCTGTGAGTGCCCTCACTCTGAAAGTGTTCTAGGCCAGGTTGGATGGAGCTTTGAGCAACCTGATCTAGTGCAGGGGGTTGGACTAGATAATCTTTAAAATTCCCTTCCAACCCAAACCATTCTATAATTCCATAATGGGTTCAAGCTCTTGTGCTGCTCCCAGGACTCGAGGGTGAGACCTTCAATAAGCCATGGACATGGGAAACACATCAGTCTCTACAGGGCCTGTGGCAGGCAGGGAAAGGCAAGGGAAAGAGGGGAATTGCTTTGTCAGCCTGCACTGTGCAGAACTGGGGTTATGAGAGGATCTGAAGCCTGTGTGATGTTGTACTGAAAACTGCTGGACTGAGTAAATGCATTAAAGTTCTGAAAGGTGATAATTTAAAAGCAATTTCATAAGACCCTGTTTAGTGTCTCTCTTCTTGCCTTCAGGTTGAAAGAAAGCTCCTCTGAGCCTTGATGTGGGATCTGAAAGCCATCACACTGTTGGTTTGCACCACTGTGGCCGTGCTTTCCCCAGGGTTAGTCTGTTTGTAAAGGCACCTGTGCTGAGCTGCTGCACTCAGTAAATCTTCCCAACTGAAACTTTCTGTTGTGGGCCGTTGTGGTGTGGGATGGAGTAGAGACCAGGCTCCTCAAAACCTTGAATTTTCTCTGATTTGTCTTAGATTTAGTTTAGTGATTATAAGAAGTAGGTTGAAAAACCCTGAAAATAATGTTATCTTCTTTTATTTTTTTTAAAGAATTTGTATTTTGTGATTGATTGCAATTTTGGATTTAGATTTTCCCTGCTGCTGCTAAATTATACATCTGAGTAGTCAGCATCTGAGCTGTCAAGTAACTTAGTCCATCCTCTAGGAGACAAACTTAACAACTAAACAAAACTTAGCAGGGACATGTAAGTGCCACTAACAGTTCTTTGGATGGGAGTCCTGGGAACCTGAGCCCCGAGGTCCATGGGAATTCAGTTTTAAGTTCAAAGTATACACGGGGTTCTTGTTCTGGTCACCTTTCCTAATCTCTCCTGGTCTTTGTTTGAGGCTGAAAATGCCTCTGCTTTCTTCAGTGGCTCTTGTTCCTTGCTAAGATCTGATCTTTCCAAGGACACTTTCCCTGGCTTTCCTTAGCTTTTGCTTGTCTGTCGAGGGAGTCTAAAGTCACAAGTTAATAACTGCTTTTCTCATTATTCACTTGTGCAGAGAGTGAGTTCAATCATAATTTACTTGCACCGACTGCTGGTGACAGTTGTGAGCTGTTGTAAGCTGCCAACTGCTGCCTGTATTGTCCTGTGGTATTACTGAGGAGGTTTTCAAGTGCTCTTTGCTATAGGGATAAGCTGGACCACACTCCAGCTTGTCTCACATGTAAGACAAATACTGACTCTCTCCTCTCTCAGGACACCGAGTTTTGCAAACTACACATTGTAAGGTCTCTCTGATATTTATGCCACTCTGTCACATAGGGCTGTGCAAATTTGGCCAGTGTCTTTCACAGTTATTAGTTGGGCACCCTTGCTCCATATGGTCCCATAGGCCATGTGGCCATAACAAAACTTAGACTAAGAAAAGTTTCCAGCAGACAAAAAGGCCACAAGGTAGTACTCTGCTTGTACACCATGAACATACTAACTGAAGGGCAATAAGTGCAAATTTACTTGCTTTTGAAACAGGATTTGCACTTTTGGAAGTCAGGAGGAGGAGATTAACATCCCTGAAAATATGAAAAAAGCATGATTTGGCAGAACAAGGAAGTGGTTTTGGTATGTTCAGTGATCATTCCCAAATCTGTACATGAACTCCACACCCTCCTTGCTCACCCACTGGAAAGTGGCTGCACAAACTGTGCAGAATTAACTCTAAAGAAAGTTTCTTGGTGACATGAAAGATAAGGTCCCAAAAGAAATGTTCTTGCCACACTTCCATTAAAAAACGAGTAATCTATGATGTAAATGCTGCAAATGAGACAGCAGATTCTCATCTGGCAGAAGTGACTTACAGCTCTAATTTAGGTAAGTGATAACCAATTTTCTAAGGTCATAAATAATGGTTATTGTTCATGTGCTTCCTCATCTCCCTGTTCCTATTCTTTCACATTTGTACCAGCAGGTATCTATGTGCTAGACATTTTAAAGTACTAGGCAGAGAGATTGATTACTTTATTTACCCTTTGCTTAAATACATCTTTTTTCACTTCTTAGAGACAAAGGAATCCACACTGTCTGTAATGAAAGCTAATTCTGTTCATCTCTTCCTCCCATTAAAGCTACCAAAGCATTACAATTCTGACTGGAGAAACAAATGGAGCCACAGATCTTTGTCACATCTGAGCAAAAAGCCTTGCAGATGTGCCTGGAGAACCCTTGGAGCCAACAGTGTCCTGTGCAGGTACAAGGGTTCCTCTGTGAAGGCTCAACAGCACTAAATTTGATCTGTCTCCTTGTTTGGTAAACTCGTGTGCTGCTTGGCTTTGTGAGAGAACTGCTGTACGACAAAAAGGCAAAGTAGAACTGTGTACATGTAGAAGAGCACAAAACCAAGGTTAAAGCTGCTGTTTGAAACTGAGCTTGAATGAAGACTCCTGCATTTCAATTCTGTCTCTGTCCCTGGTTCACCAGGTCACCTGGGATCAAGTAACTATTTCTTCCAAGGCCTCTTGTTTCAGCTACAAATGGTGCAGAAGGGGATTCTGGCAGTTTTTCCTGTCCATGCTGTGCCCCTGAAGCAAACTGCTACTGCTGCCAGCTTCCCTCCTTTCTCCTGGAGGTTACCATTCCTGGGACATCCTTATGTCCCTGTGCTATCACTCACAGGCAAACAGATTGGCTCAAACTCCCCAAAAGGACAGTTGACATTAGAGGGAGGTGAGACCACTCTTCTGAGGGAGCAGGAAAAACAGGAAATGCCTGGAAGCATTGGAATTGCTTGTTCAACGAACACAGTGGAGCCCAGATTCTCATCACTGAACAGAGCTGTGACATTCACTGTCCTATGAAGAGTGACATGACTGTGTTAATCTGCAAAATAGTGTCACTTTTTTATAGTTGTTTCCCTTTTTATAACTTTTTATACTTCGGTTTCATGACAGGCTGCAGTATGTGAAAAATCTGTAGTGAGATCCTCGTGCAGGGTCTGCCTGAAAGAGGCCACAATTGAAACAGGACGTCTCTGAGTCATGTGAGGTGAGCAAAAAGTTCTTTCCACAGTGAAAAGTTCTCATCTGAAATCTTGTGAAGAAAGGGAGAACTTGAAGTCACCTATTGTGCCCTGAACTCAGGCTGTGGTTTCAGAGGCACACGGGGAACATCAGCGCCTGCCAAGTTGACCCCACTGCTGGCTGATGAGCCATGTCCTTGTCACATCCACCCTCCCAACTTGACCAAGTGTGTTTCTATAAAGACTGACAGACATCCAACCAAAATCAGTGTGCATCATCCAAATACAACACCTTGAGCTGCATCTCAAATGTACCGTGTGTCTGTGGCGTCAGACCATGGTGTAAAACGGCTGCTTGAGCGAATTAGAGAACCAGGACAGTTTAAATAAATTAAAGGATTTTTTTCAGCACTGCCATCCCACAGCATGGAAGCTGACAGTGTTTTTAATGGCTGTGTTTATCTGCCAGGACACCAAGATGAAAACACCAGGGTGAGGACTGGGAGATCTGGATTCTCTTTCCAGCCTTTCCACAAGCTTCTCCTGTGATTTACAACTTGCCATGAA